ATTAACTCCACCTGTCAGTGCTCATAATGTTATGGCTGATCCTTGTATATATATATATATATATAACGTTATACACGTTCAAAACGTTCAAACCAAAAGTTCATTATTAAAAGAACAACAATGAATGTTTTTCCGCTTACCAAAACCCAACCAGCACTAATGTAAACTCTATTCTGAGGTCGATTTTTTTTCAATATTACACATTACAATTCAAGACAACTGGTAGTTACAGTCTCATTAGTCATAAGTGCTAAGCAAGTTTTAAGCAAATTTGAGAAAACTCAAAATAATAAAACAAAATAATGAGTAAATAATTGCATGTTTCTATCAACTGCTGTTATGCAAATATACTCAAGAACAAGATAATATTATTAATTGAACAGTAGTATCTCTCATACACAGAAGAACTTTATTGCTCCTTCCTACCAAAGCATGCAACATGTGATGTTTTTGAGAGCCACAGTGGGAAGAGAGATGGCATGCAACAGGGATCTCCAGCTGCCCTCGAACCAGACAGCAGTGGTGCCTCACCTGAGTCAGCGCAGCAGATGTGATAACCAGCCTTCCACTGTTACAGTCCATTATATGATTGTGCATCACCAAGAATCAAAGCACAAACTTGGAGCCTGACATCTTTCTTAAATTACAGCAGAGACTGACAAGAAGTAAATCCAAAGTAAGTCATGAATGTTATTTTTATGCTGTTGAATATTTTCTTACATCAGTAATGTCTGTCAACACATCTGGCTGAAGTTTCACTTTAGAAGTAAACACAATGCTGACATTTATGTGGTCAAAAAATTACAGACGGGATTAAATACACAAAGCATTTTAAACCTATAAATATTTAGGTCTAGAATTTAGCAGCACAGCAAATTTCCGCTGTGCAATTAGTAACAGAGAGGAAGAGCACACAGGGCTTCTCAGCTGTGCTGTTTCTCTTTTACTCACACTGAGCAGAGTAAACAATGAGTCTGCCAGACAAACCATGTGATGACACTGTTTCTAAATTACCACAGGCAATACTGGTGCATTATGTGCTGTCACATTTTTGCAGACTGACCAACACAAACACCAATGTGTTGGTATGTCCTCGATGAGCCAACATG